TGCACACATGCGGCGCGGCAAGGAAAAGCGGCAGAATGACGTCACTTTTTCTCGCCGCAGAAGTCGATTTTGTGCCGCTTTTCTCGTGCCGCAAAAGTTGGTTGAATTCTATCTTTTGCGGCAACGCCGCCAAGACGCGTTTCTATCAGCCAATAACAGTTTGTCTCGTAGTCACGTGAGAAAATACAATCACGTGGTGTTTTAATGGCGGAAAGTTCGAGGCGGTTAACCGAGATAATTAAAATCAGAATAAAGAGGAAAGGATAACAAATTTAAAACAAATTCTACACAAATAATCATATATAATTTAATTCAAAGAACAAAACAACCGAATCTTACTCGAAATAGTATTCTTTATCGAGAGATCTTGATCCACGAATAAGTCTATTTTGTACACCAGTTCTTTCTCGATCCAAAAAAGTATCTCTAATTCAAATCTTCGACAAAATCTTTTAGCTAAATAAAGCGAGTCATACAAAACAAAATTTGTAAACACGTGGATAGGGACAGTATCCAAGTGTATCGATATCCAAGTGTATAAACAACGATATCCAAGTGTATAAACACGTGGATATCGTTCGCCATCTTGAATACTGAACGCATGCGCCGAAATGTAAGCGGATTGCCGCTTGTGTGGTTGCACTGCCGCGCGGCGAAGATGCGCTTGCGTCACCGCTTTTTCTTGCCGCGCCGCATGTGTGCATCCGGCTTAATTCGGAATTTTTGGTAATCCGGTACTCTGAAAAATAGTCGATAATCCGGCCTGTTAGTATTTTGAGAATCGAAATTTCTTTGTACACGGTGCTCTAATGATCTCGGGCGGAAATCAAGTGGGCGATGGGAATATATAGCCATGTATGCCCCACACATAGCCATGCATATTGCTATGTGTGGGGAGGTCGACTGCGGGATCCAGAGCGATCTGATTGAGAAAACCTCGTTTGTGTTTGGACATTTCTGTATATTTTATACCAGTGTTCGTTAGTACATGCTGTACATATGTGAGTGCAAAATGTACTGTACAACAGTGCCTTAGATTGCATTATAACCTATCGAGTTTTACTTTTCCGGCTCTGTTATACTGTATATAACAGAGAAAGTATGGCGATCTATCAAACAATTACCTCTAACAAGTAAGATTTTTACATTTTTGTACTCTGACCGTAAAACGTCGAAAAATGCAAAAGAAAAAAAAAAGTATTTTCTGTGTATTGATGTTAGTGTGATTGGCGCGAATTTTTCATTCTCTGTAAAAAAAGCTTGGTCATTAATATTGTTAGGTAACATTTCGTAATTAGTGTTAACATTTAAATTGTTACTTGAAAAGGTGGCTTTTATTGTTTTATTACCCCGTTTATTGTACAGTACATCTGTAGTTTTCTAAAAAGAAATCAGTTTTTCTATCTGACAATACACGAAAATAAAAATTAAAGTTTCATTTAAAAAAAATTACATCAATACCAACGATATGCGAAACACGAACCTCGTGAGTATGAACTGTTGCGCCCCCACCAAAGAACCACTCAATTTGTAAATAATAGAACAATAAATTAATCTTCAGAATTTTTATTTTAAACTGGGGATGCAGTATAACTCACAAAGTTTGATCAAAATCGGTGACCTCAACGTCTTACCATTCGCTCTAAGTACGTAAGAGTCCTCATAGTTATATGCTAATTTCTTAGATACTTATATTTGAAATTATAATAAATACACTTAAGCCAGTTTATATGTCGGATTTACTTGCTTTACTCGTATATAACGAGTAATGCAAGTAGCCTGTGTTTTTATAGGAGAGCGAGCGAGAGGCGGTGTCGGCAAAGTCACCTGGCTTCTACAGCCAATTACAGTGATGATTCATTCCTACTTTTTAGTAAGCGCATGTCACGTAACCTGTTTCTAAACGTTGTCTAAACTGTGGCAAGCAAGAAACGCTGTCTCTACAATGAAATTTTTCTGAACCGCGGTTTACAGATCGTCTATAGTCTATCGTAAGTTGGCATCTAATTGTAAAGAAACTAAGACACACCTCTTTATTTATTGTTTTAAACTTTCGTCCATCAATTAAAACCGCGTTGTATCTCATTCGTCTGTAGAAAATAGTTTCTCGTTATTTATAAAATCATTAATAGAATACTGGTTACTTATGGAATAACTACATTACATTATTTTACTTTTAAAATGAAGTCTACTTAAAGCGTGACTGCACATTATTTTATCTATTCTCGTAGTTGTTATCAGGAAAAGACTAAATAAAAGATTAAGTGTTAAAATGAAATGAGAGTATAATTCAGAATACATTTCGACTGATTACGTAATGTACAGTACAGTATATGTTAAATTAGTCATTTTAACGTTCTATTAACGCTGTTTAACTGGAAAAAAAGAAATAAAAATTTAATTTTATATTGATTAAGGGGTAAAGTCAAAAAGCTATTCATAAGTATTTATCAATGTATGAATATTCATAAGGATATTCACATATCTGGAGATTACGTGAGATTACATGAGAATAATTATAGTAAATGCACTTGCCTTTCATAATACCATAATCTATGAAAGATCGCAGATTAAAAACATAAGATTTTCTAAAAACAAAATTTTAACTGATTTTAAATATTAATGACTGATGTTTTATTTTAATAAAAATATATTTTCTCATATAACAATATCCAAATTCTCTCCTAACATTGAAAGTCGTATTAAGTACATAAATCTTATATACAGTGCCGTAACTAGTCATTCCTGTGCCCTGTGCAAGAATTTGCATTTGGACCCCTTAATTATTCAGATTTGAGAAAATAATAAAAGAAATACATGCATTTTCGGCTCCCCTTCCAAATGGGCCCTGTGCGGGTGCAATTGTTGCATTGTTTAGTTACGGCGCTGCTTGTATACAGTATGAATATATAATTATTATCAGTAAAACTTTTAAATTCTCATAAATAAAAGTTGGTTGAGAAAATTGTTGTATATTATTTATTATTACGCAATTAAATTAGTTTTCCCTCGATAACCGCGGGAAATTAATTCTAGGACGCTTCTCAGATACAAAACCCTTCAGATGCTAAAGTCCCTTATATAAAATAGAGTAATATTTTCTTATATAGTACGAATTTTAAATAATTTCTAGATTATTTAAAATTCATACTGTTATGTATGTACTGTAAAAACAGATTTTCTTGCATGCCCATTATGAGTTTACTCGGGCCCATAGCGGGGCTCGTTGTTAAAAGATGGAATACGACAGAAAATAGAAGGTCTATACTGAAAAATTAACTAAGAATTGTTTTTATTATTATTACATTTATTATTGAAGCAATCCTTGTTATCCGTTTTAGTACTGGTTGACCGCCGATTACTTTAGAACTGGTTGCCTGATTACAAAATCGTTAATCAGGCGAGACTAAATCGTTTCAGTCTCGCCTGATTAACGATTTTGACAGACTAACCAGTCATATGATTATAGCTCAACAAATATTCAGGACAATTTATTACATATCTCTAGTGTTTCTAAAGCATTTCAGAAACTTGAATTAAGCATATAGTAAATGTTTGTTAAGTTATGGTAACGCAACACTTGGGCAATCTGCCTAAGGAGGGATGCCTTACGTGAGGTCTTATAAGGGAAATTGGCCTTTATTTAGGGGTTACAGACGTGGAGAAAACCCAGAAAACTCCACGTGGCCAGTCCGTCCGAGCGAGGCGCGAACACACGACCGAATTCCCAGTGTTTAGGGTACGAAGACCGCTTGGCCACTGGTGGGTCTATAATAAATATGAACTGGTATTTAGGAATAAGTGATAGCATGCTAATATTGCTGAGAGTAAAACACATCAAATCTCCCGAAATTTTTACTCTTTGAATGGAAAACTCTCGGAATCAACTATTTGAGAAATGGCAAGCTTACTTGTGTCTGCCCCATATTTATCTGTATCTATGGCTTCTAAATAAAATGAACTAATAGTCGTAAAAAAAATATTCCTCAAACTTTTGCTCCATTATTATTGTGGAAAATACATTATAAAAAGATACTTTAAGAGATAAGACGGGGCCCGACATATCGGACGGATCATCCCCAAAAATTCCTAGGTCTCCTAGAGCGGCAGGCTGCCATGTTGACTGCTCGGCCATCCAGCCGCTACATGAAAGCTTTAATAAAGTTTCCATTTTAAATTGATAAATTATTTAACATTCAGTAATTTCTTCGCATTAAATTTTATAATTACATTAAAATACTCGACTTATTTATATATAATTTATTAAATACGATTTTATGAAATATTTTTTAACAATTAAATTCCTTATAATATTTAGCATAAAAATATTTATTTATAAATTTTAATTATTTTATAACTTAATTTTATATTAATAATTATTTTATTCTTTTATTTGCTTTAAAATTATTTTCTTACTTAAAAAAATGACGATAGAGATTAGACAGAACCCTCAGACGGCGTGGCCTAAAATTAAAAAGAAGAAGGAAGAAGAAGCAAGATGGCCGACGTTGTTGTTAGGAGATCTGATCAATATTCACCGAAATCGAGTCCTAGAAGTGCAAGATCGCCAGTCGTACCACGACAAGATTCAACTGGAACATTAAAAACTACAATATCTCTCGGTAAAACACCAGCTATCGTTCACAGTGGACCTTTCTATCTGATGAAAGAACCTCCAAGTTAGTATACACTTTAATTTAACTTATTCAATCAAATAAATGTATAAGTGTAAAGTAATTCTATATACTTTTTATTTTATAAGCTTAATAACATCATTATACATACATTTGCTTTTACTTTAAGGTAATTTGTATGTATATATATACATCTATATACAGTTGCAGCTCTAAGGGGAGAGGGATAAAATTTGGGGGTGAAACCCCTCATTTAGAGCTTCTTACACTAAAAGTGACATCATAACACAGATTTATTTAATGTATATTTGAATTTCAATAATTAAATATGTAGTGTTGTGAATTTGTGTTGTAAATGATTGTTTGGCCCAACGGTGGTCGCGCGGTGCCGTTCCCCAAAACTGGGAGTTCAGTCGTGGGTTCATGTCTAGCTGGGATGTGGACTTTTCTGGATTTTCTCTACGTTTAACACCCAAATAGGGGCAAGTTACCTTTAAAAAGACTTCCCGGATGGCAGATCGATTTAGTGTTGCATTGCTGTAACTTAAGAAAACAAACAAACAAAGAAAAGTAAATGCTTTCTGTCCTTAAGGCTCAAAGTGATGACTGTCCTGGAACAGTAGCCACGTCTACTGTCAGAGGATTTTGGAATACTTGAAAAACTGTATAAAGTTAGTAAATATTGTAGACTACAGTAGGTAGGTACCGTGTTTATTTAACTGACGAGGTTTATTAGAAAAGGAAATTTATAAAATGTACGATATTTTGTAGTAGGTTTGAAGTTGGAGTGCTCCCTCTTTTTATTATTTGTACAGAAGACTGTTTCATAATACTACAGGATGATNTAAGTTCTTTTTTTTTTTTTTTTTTTTTTAGATACTTAAATATATTTATCATTTTCATAAGTTATAGACTGGGACAATGCGTTTTGTATGTTTCATCCACTCTTGTGGGATGAAACATACAAAATTAAACATGGTTAATTAAATTTTGGACTACAATTTATATTTATACAATAATAATATGAAATATGCTTTTTTTTAATTATGTTAAATATATATATATATATATATATACGTAATTATTAGTTCATTGGCGATAATTTTTAACTATATTTTATAATAATTTATTTTAGAATTATTTATATTAATGAAACCATTATATTTTTCAGGCTAATCTGTTGGTAGTAATACTGATTGCGTTATGCTTCAGCAGTCCATTTAATTTATTACTGAAGAAAACATGACATAAACTCAGCATTATTTAACATCTGCTTTTTATAATTTATAAAGTAAATTGTCGTGTTATTGTAAATATATTTAAACTGTAATTGTACAAAGCTATATTTGAATATAAATTTTAATAGTATATTTTTTTCCCTAAAAATACATCGGTTATAATTAAATTATACACTTAGTACTGTAACACGAACTCTATTTAATATAACTATTATACAAATTACCTAGAAATTTTTACTGTTTATCATTTTATAAAATATCAAAATCCTGAATGGATAATAAATTAGTTTGAATGAGGAATGGTTAATTCTTGACAGTTGTAGCGGACAGACAAGAGCGTCATGGCAGTATGTGATAAATAATGATATCAAATGTGGATAACAATGAAATGACCTACACGTGTAAATAACGGAAAAAAGAACAGAAGGACCGCGAAGTGAAAATGTTAAATATGAAATTGAGTTGATAACGTAATCGAACAAGTCGAGGCAGCTTATTGGCGAGAAATTCGCGGCCGTCAATGCCAAACAATTGTTATGATAGATTTTGGAAAGCTAAATGCTTGTAATGAAAGTCACTTAGCGTGAACGGGCGAAAGCCTGGGGCCGTTCGGGATACCAAGCTGTCTCAAATCTGTGAAATCATAACTATGACTTATACCGACGTCCTATCTGTCTCTTTTCTCCGTTATCACCAGGCTATGAGTCATGTAATTGTAAAATGGGAACTCTACGACGGAAAAGTGACGAATCGAAAGTATCGTGAGCGCGTATTATGATGTATGCATAGTCATACGTGGAGTAGAGCGATAGAGGAAAGAGAAAGGGAAGAGTAAAGACGAGCGCTTAAAAAGGATAGGTAGGGTCGGACCCTCGGATGTGCGACGATTCTCGAACGAATTGGTGTGTAGGTGTGCTGATCTTTGTAATTATAAATTGTGAATACGTGTGACTAATATTATTATCTTTTTTATTTTGTGCGTGTTATAAGTTATAAATAAATATAAACAAACAACACTAACTCGATAACATTAAATATAAATACCAAAATAATTAATTTACTGTGTTTTTGTTATTTCTTACTCCTGTTTTTAGGTATTCGGTATTCGGCCGAATACCGAATAGTAACCGAATATTCGTTACATCACTATTAAAAATTTGTTGTTTTTTTTAAATATTTGTGTACATTTCTTATACCCTCTCAGCGCTCACACTGCAGAAAGTCTTTAAGTCCATTAATTAAGGGTTCGGCCAGACCCACAAGGAGATGGCTGAGTGGATCCGACATATCCAGTTTGAACCATCACCCAAAAGATTTCTGGGGTTTCTAGATGCGAATTCGTTAGGCTGTCACTTTAGCCATCCGGCTATATGTAGAAATTCTTTATCTGGTACCCGGTAAAGCCGGATGCACACATGCGGCGCGGCAAGGAAAAGCGGCAGAATGACGTCACTTTTTCTCGCCGCAGAAGTCGATTTTGTGCCGCTTTTCTCGTGCCGCAAAAGTTGGTTGAATTCTATCTTTTGCGGCAACGCCGCCAAGNTTGTTTCTTTATTATTATTAGTTCCTTGCGTTCTCTCATTGAAAAACCTCCAATTGGTGGAAAAGAGTTGTTACCATTGATGGGAGCTCAGTTAACAGGATTCAGGCTGCATGCAGGTCCTGTAAGTAATACTTTTCATTTATTTTCACTTCCTCTTTGATTAATATTCTAATTAAATAAGTTTAGATACAAAATGAATATTTAAATCTAAAACACAGTTGACAATTTTAATTTTATTGTATATAAAATGACATTCATTCTAAGATAAAAAATTAAACACTTTTGTTAAACTGATATGTATCATCAAATATTCTATTCTTTAAAATTTAATTTCTAATATTTAGATTAAATTCATTAAAGCATACACCTATAATTAGGATAAAATTTTAAATAGTTTGGAATTTTAATTTACTCTTCTCTATGGAGAATATCACATATTGTACAGTATCAGAAAAAGTTTAGTTCAGTGTGTGTACATGTATACAGAATGCCCCTTAAATCATGCACTATAGACAAAATGAGTGTTCAGATGATATGTTTGATCTGATCGTTGTCTTGTTGACACACAGATTTGAATTGGCAATCCAATTGTGAGTTTTGGCTGACCTGAGTGCTCTTTGTCTACCACTGATCTGGTCCTCTTAAACTTTGCAGCCATTTGTCCAATAATGATATACGAAATTGGTGCTGGCTAAAGGTGTTTGTAGGTGAACTCTTCTGCTACCTCCCTGGCCGACCAGTAAGATGACATCGATGTGTTCATTTTTCATCAGCATTGTTCTGAAATAAAAATCAATTACATTATGGTTTTCATATGAAACACCTTGTATATTAAATAAACTTTACTCCTTTATGAATAGTAAAAAAATTTTTACTGGTTTTTGATGTTTGTGAGGTTATTTCATATAACACTATAACCTTAACCAGCATAATATTTATTAGATTGAATATATTTGGCCTATACTGTGACCAACTTTGGGAACATTCTATTATTCTTTCCTGTGATTCTGAAGATAGCCACATAATATATGTAGGTCAAAAATGTTTGATTCGATAAATGTAATGCTTGTTTAGGTTTCAGTGTTACATTTTAGACTATTAAATTGGTAGGAATAAAATTTTATGCTAATAGCACATTCACTATTTGGAGGGAAGAAAATGTTTATTCTGCTATAATGAAAAATTAAATCAATATGTCAATTTAAAATACTTTTATTTTGTTTCTAAGACATTCGACGAAATATAATTTTATGGGTATAAAATATTTTAGCTTGTTAACATTTTAATATTAAGTTTTAAAAATCATGTTTTTGTTTTTAATTTATTTATGAATAATAATAATTAATTAATTGTATATTTTATATATTTAAATCACTCTTTGTACCAATTTAGTTTCTTTATTTTTAGTATTTACAGATCTTAAAATTAAAAATTTCTTTCTTCTATTAGGTGAAAGTGAATTGACAGGGGCAACAAATTTAATGGCCTATTACAATCTAGAACATTCCTATAACAAATTCTGTGGTCGAAAAATGAAGGATCAATTAAGTGCCTTCTTACCAAATTTACCCGGAAATATTGACATTCCTGGTCATCAAGATAACAGGTAAATAAATATACAATTAATATTTACTTAAAATGACAAAATTACACTAATAAGTATCTACCAAATCATTCAGCATCTACATTGATTTATTCTTATCTAATGATTTTATAAAGATTTTTTTACAGTTTATATTTTCACTGTTCAATTAAAATAAACCCATTTCAGATATTAGAACAAGCAGGCCACTTCTGTTTTATCTCATTAATAATTCTTTCTGTATTTTGCAAAATTATTCTAATTAATAATGTTTCTTTCTTATATTTTTATAATTAGAACATTTTAATAATTTAAATAATTAAAACCATTGATGGAAGATGAAACTTAATTATTTGACATTTGAAATAGTTGATATTAAGTATAAATACTTAATGTTTTCAAGAAACAATTACTTAATCAATTAACTAAATTGAATTTAAATTTATAAAAGCAAATTTGAAAATGTGTTTTAGGCTTTACTGTCTTTATGAATGCAAAAAACTTAAAACATGAAGTTTACATAATACACTGTTGTTAATGTTCAAAATAATAATAATAATAAATTTTTACTATTATTATTNTATTTATAAATTTTAATTATTTTATAACTTAATTTTATATTAATAATTATTTTATTCTTTTATTTGCTTTAAAATTATTTTCTTACTTAAAAAAATGACGATAGAGATTAGACAGAACCCTCAGACGGCGTGGCCTAAAATTAAAAAGAAGAAGGAAGAAGAAGCAAGATGGCCGACGTTGTTGTTAGGAGATCTGATCAATATTCACCGAAATCGAGTCCTAGAAGTGCAAGATCGCCAGTCGTACCACGACAAGATTCAACTGGAACATTAAAAACTACAATATCTCTCGGTAAAACACCAGCTATCGTTCACAGTGGACCTTTCTATCTGATGAAAGAACCTCCAAGTTAGTATACACTTTAATTTAACTTATTCAATCAAATAAATGTATAAGTGTAAAGTAATTCTATATACTTTTTATTTTATAAGCTTAATAACATCATTATACATACATTTGCTTTTACTTTAAGGTAATTTGTATGTATATATATACATCTATATACAGTTGCAGCTCTAAGGGGAGAGGGATAAAATTTGGGGGTGAAACCCCTCATTTAGAGCATCTTACACTAAAAGTGACATCATAACACAGATTTATTTAATGTATATTTGAATTTCAATAATTAAATATGTAGTGTTGTGAATTTGTGTTGTAAATGATTGTTTGGCCCAACGGTGGTCGCGCGGTGCCGTTCCCCAAAACTGGGAGTTCAGTCGTGGGTTCATGTCTAGCTGGGATGTGGACTTTTCTGGATTTTCTCTACGTTTAACACCCAAATAGGGGCAAGTTACCTTTAAAAAGACTTCCCGGATGGCAGATCGATTTAGTGTTGCATTGCCGTAACTTAAGAAAACAAACAAACAAAGAAAAGTAAATGCTTTCTGTCCTTAAGGCTCAAAGTGATGACTGTCCTGGAACAGTAGCCACGTCTACTGTCAGAGGATTTTGGAATACTTGAAAAACTGTATAAAGTTAGTAAATATTGTAGACTACAGTAGGTAGGTACCGTGTTTATTTAACTGACGAGGTTTATTAGAAAAGGAAATTTATAAAATGTACGATATTTTGTAGTAGGTTTGAAGTTGGAGTGCTCCCTCTTTTTATTATTTGTACAGAAGACTGTTTCATAATACTACAGGATGATCTGGCCTTTTTGTGCTCTCTGGTAGTAAAGGGCCTAAAACCACAAAAAAAATACAAATAAGTACTACAGGATGATTCTTTATTAAAATGTACAATTGTTTAAATAGGATATTACTTCCCCTATCCACTGAGCACTTTATCTGGTGCAAAATAATAAGGACAATTCCTTTCTAATTTGAAATCATATCTGCCTCTATATTGTTTGTTTATATTGTACAATGAAGCACAATACGATCGACATGAGGCTTTCCTTTATAAGCTTCTTTAATATGCTATTTTATTTGCTGAGACATGTTTCTGGCATTTTCCCCTCTTCTGTTTGCTTTTTTTAGGTTTTTTTGGTGTTACATATTTGGCTTAACGGGTGTAGAGATGAGCCAAATACGTAACACCAAGAAAATGCAAAAAAGTC